TTTGATTTTGTTTACTGCATCCAAGGCATTTTTCATACAATCTTCCCACAGGTCTATAAAATAGACATTATTATCCCCCATTTTACAGGTAAGGAAACTTACGTTCAGAGATGTCAAGTATCTTGGCCAAAATTACACAGTTATTATAAGGTAGAGCAATAATTCTGTCTCCAAAGCTAGTGCTCCTTGTTCTTTTCACCACACCAAACTGACTAACATACACCTAACATCTGGGAGATGCTCAATAAATGTGTATGTGAATGAATCATCCTCTAAAAGAGCTTGTTGGAATTCTTTTCCTCTTTTGGTGCACAAAGTCCAATGCAGGGACTGTTGTTGTTGTTGTTATGTGCCATTGAGTCAAACCCGACTCATAGCAACCCCTCGTTGGGTTTCCGAGGCAGTATCACTATGGAAGTAGGATTGCCCAACCTTCCTTCTGAGGAGTGGCTGGCGGGTTTGAACAGCCAGCCGTCTGGCTAACAGGCAAGTGTCTTAGCCACTATGCTACCAGAGCTCCTGCAGGGACTAGAAAGTCCAAAGAGGAGTTGGCAGCTCACCTTCCAGGATGTGAATTCCACCACCAGGAAACTACCCTGGCCAAGCTTAGAGGGGGCAAGGAGCAGTTTTCACAGGTTCAATATTCTCAGCTGGTAAATGGGCACAATAATCTCATCCATCTCCAAATTTTATGAGGATTAAATAATACAGCAGTGTTGAGGAGACAATTCATATAAAGAAAACATTAAAATGTGGATGAGAACGCATTAGGGAAGCAGCGTTGAAAAGGACCAAAAAAAAGGAGGAGAGAGGGAAATGTGATAGGTGAAGAGTAGCGTGGTGGAGAGTTTGAATGTATGTCAGGCTGGGGGAGCTCTTGTGGCGTAGTGCCTAAGGCACTTGACTGCTAACCGGAAGTCTGGCAGTTCAAATCCACAAGCCACTCCTTGGAAGGAAGATGGGGCAATCTACTTCCATAGTGATACTGCCTCGGAAACCCAAGGAGGGGTTGCTATAAATCATGTCCGACTCGATGGCATATAACAACAACAATATGTCAGGCTGGGGTTGTAGTACTGGGCGAGGTATGTGGTGAATTGTGAAGTCTGTGAGCCTCTGTTCCATGATATGTCTTACATGGCATTGATTCACAATGCTTTTTCTACAGGTGGGTGGACAGCTGGGGGCAAAACAGTAGTTTCCAAATTAGTTTTGTTTGTTTGTTTGTTCTTGTGTAGAATATGAAATAAAATTTTACACAGGAAGAAAACAAAAGATAGAATAGATAGAGGATTGAAACTGCTTTAATGGAAGGGGTGCTCTGTGGCCCCTGCCTCACCACATCCTCCTTCATGTCTCACCTGCTAGACCTTCTCCCAGAGACCCTGAGGCACTGCCACAGACCCCAGTGGTGGCAGGATACACAGTTTGGGAAGCCCTGCCTTAGGAGTCCTGATTCCTAATCCTGGCCTTCCACTCACTTTGGACATGTCATTATAACTTTCCAAGCATCAGTCTCCTTGCCTATAAAATAGGATTGGAGTAAGTAATCCCTAATATTCCTCCAAGATTGAGATGTTCTGGCCTTAGGTTTCCATGAGGAGGGAACCGTGACACACTGGTGAATTCTGATGCAGGTACCAAGTGGTAGAAGAGGTGCTTGGGAACTGGGTGGACACATACGAAATCTTTTTCATCCTAGGCCACCAGCCCTTGGTTCTGACTATACTAATGATGTAGACTTTCTCATAATTTGGCTCCCTACCCTCTACCCCTAAGCCTTAGGGTAACAAGGAAAGGGGAGGAGGTGATAACCAAGAGGAAAGAAAAAGAGGTGACAAAGAGGAGGAGCTGTTGGAAGGCATCTCAAGGCTACCTCTTCTGGTGCCAGGAACATCTGAGTCTTGGCCAAGGCAGGTTGACTGGGGGAATATTCACTGCCCTTTTAACCTTCTGGCTCATCTTCCTTAGAAGCCATTCAAAGAAGTCTTGTGAAATCAATCTCTGCTTTGAGTTGGGCTTTTTGCCTGGCACAAAGGTGGAATTTGATATGTTCTTCTTAAAGGAAAAAATGTCTGAGTGCAGCCATGACCTACCTAGATGTGGTAAGACTGTGGTGTTACATACTGTGAGTGGAGAACCATCACCAGAAAAGGAGGTTCATTCAGGTCAGCCTTGAACTGCTGTGGAGGCAAGTGGATTGTTTCTGGATCCCTTTTCCTAGTCAATAGAGAAGAGGAAGCAAAACTGTCAGGACACACCAATCCTGCCTTTCCCTGAACCCATATTTAGGAAATGAAATGGCATGGTGCTACTTTGTTCTTTCATGATCCCTCTTCCAACTGTGAGGATGCAATGAAGATAAAACAACTCGCTCCACAATTGCTCTTGTTAGCAGTTTACCTTTGGGTCACACTTGGTTCATTCTAATTAGGAGCAATGAATTTGAGGGTATTTTCTTGCACCCCTACACAATTCTCTTGACATTTACCCAAGACCACTTGTGTAGAGGGGTGAAAGAAGTAACTGCTCAGGACTTAAATGCATGCACATGTTAAAGCCACATCCTTGCAGTTTTGCCACCTCCTCGCCTCCTAAGCCTAATGTGCAAATGTGGTGACTTGAAAGTTACCTTAAGTTCAGAGATTGCACCCACTGGGGGACAAAAGATACTCAGTCCTTATTTGACTTCAAAATACTCACTCTCTTCTGATTTTATCTGTAAATTTTACTGGGTCTATTGTGATACCCCTTGAGATAACCGAAGAGAGGGTGGTTGAAAATCCATTCTGGCCTCATTATTAGGGATGTAGAGTGAGAAGCTTTCTGAAAAATTGGAACTTTTAATAAGATGATCTGATCATCAGGCCCAAAGGATCCTGAGTATATATATGCACTGACTTATAAATCAGGGTTAAAAAAAAAAATAAATGTTTGAAAATGAGAATCAGCTCCTAAAAGGCATTTGCCTAGGGAGAGAAATAGTGTTTTGTGGGATAAATTGAGCAAACGGCTGGTGGTAGCAACCTCAGGTCTGTCATCAGGGGAATAGGTCAACACCAGATTTCCTTGCCCTGTGGCACTGAAGAGGAAATTGGAGTGCAATGAGGCCCAAGTCTTTGGAGATGAGATCTGAACACTTCAGGAGGGTGGAGAAGAGGAGTGAGGGAGAGAATTAAAGTTGTTGTCTCCTAGGCAAATACCTAACCCGAAACCCATTGCCCTCAAGTCAGAGCCGACTCATAGTGACCCCTCCTTGGGTTTCCGAGGCAGTATCACTACAGAAGTAGATTGCACAATCTTCCTTCTGAGGAGTGGCTGGTGGGTTTGTATCACCAGCCTTCTGATTAGCAGTCAAATACCTTAGGCACTACGCCACCAGAGCTCCCAGGCAAACACCTGGGGCCTTCAAATGGAGCCATAGTGTAAAGAGTTCAGGTTTCAGAGCTGGAGTGACATTGAGTTAAATCCTCAAATCCTTGTTGGGTTAAATCATCAAATCATCACTAGTTTACTGGCTTTAGATAAGTTGCTTAGTTATATTTAACCTCATGTAAATGAAGGAGTTTGGCTGTGTTTTAATAAAACTTTATTTACAAAAACAAGTGGTGGGTCAGATTTGGCCCATGGGTTGTAGTTCGCTGAAAGGACCCAAATCTCTAATTTGCAGGATTGCTTAAAGTATTAGGCATAAACTTTACAATAAATGTCTGGCTGGCACAGGGTAAACGCTTAAAAAATTATTAAGGGGTTTTTATTATGAAAAATAAATGACTGGTAATAACTAATTAATAATATATAATAACTATTATTTGAAGGAGCCCTGGTGGCACAGTGGTTAGGCATTTGGCTGCTAACCAAAAGTTTGGTGGCTTGAACCCACTAGCTGCTCAGCCAGAGAAAGATGAAGCAGTCTGCTTCTGAAAAGATTTACAGCCTTGGAAACCCTATGGGGTAATTCTACTCTATCCTATAGGGTTGCTATTAATCAGAATTGACTTGATGGCAGTGGGTTTGGGATTATTATTTGGGAATCCTTGCTGAGGTAGTTGAGTTTTGACAGGGACCAAAGAAATAAATCTCTAAAGAAACAATGTTAGTTATCTGGATAGGCCAATATAGGAATCTATCTTTTACCAGGAAGGCACAAGTAACATCATCTCTGGAGTAGGAGGAAATATTACAGAAAGAGATTAAGTTGTATAATGAAGTAGCGTCTGGGTGCTTGGTCAATAGCACAGGAACCAATTAGGCCCAGGAGGCCCAGTGCCTAAGGCCCACAAGAACTTTAATCGTAATTTCTTATAAATTCAGAAGAAAAATGAAACATAATACTGACTATGTAATAGTGGATTACATTTGTCTTTATAACAGAACATTTGTAAACTATAACTTCTAATTTTTTTTTTTATTATTATTGAGGAAGGGGCCAACAAAGGTTGAAGTGCTTCCATGTCATTTTGATGAAGTTGCTCTTTAAAAAAATTTGGGGTTTTGTTCTTTTATGGTTCTCCTTTCAATAAGGTTCATTTTGCCCCCAGGTTCCTTTTTATCAAAATACTGAGGTTATAATTTTAGTTCTGCCACTATTTCTATGAGTCTTGAGTAAGTTACTTCAGTCTCTTCTACTAAGTTTTCTCATCTGTAAAATATGCCCTCTAAGGTTTGGACCCTGAACCTTATTTGCCTTATTCTGATTTCCATCCCCAATGCCCTGCATAGCCTCTGTCCTGTAAGTCAAGGTTAAATGAGTCTATACAATGTTGTAGAAATACCACAGGCTTTGGAGAATACCAGTGTGGGGCCTGCAACTTATCATCTGTGTGGTTTGAGTAAGTCACTTAATCTCATTTTTCCTGATCTGTAAAATAAGGATACCAAAAAATTCTTCCTCTAAAGGTTGTTATGAGAGTTAAATGAGATCACAGGAAGTGCTTTTAAACTATTAGCCCCTATCTAAATTTCTTCACTGCTTTGTGCTTCTGTGAGACAGTGGCACAATGGTCAGAGTACAAGGAGAGCACTACCTCCAGGGTCTGTCCCTCAAGTCTTACTGTGCACTCATTCTCCAAACCTATTCACTGGAAATGCTCTGTCAACCATTACTGGAAGATTCTTCAGCAGCCATTAACTGTTGCTGTTTTTTACCTGGAGCCATATAACCAGTGATGGTTGTTTATAAATCATGCTCTCTGGAGTGAACCAGGATCGTGGTGAAACAAAAAAATTTCCTAGGGAAGCCCTACTACAATTCCTAATAGTTTAGGGTAAGCACCATGACATAGGGAGCCCTAGTTGCACAATGGTTAAAGCGTTCAGCTGCTAACCAAAAGTTAAGTACTTCAAACCCACCAGCTGCTTCTTAGGAGAAATATGTGACAGTCTGCTTCCATAAAGATTCACAGCATTGGAAACCCTAGGAGCAATTCTCTGTCCGATAGGGTCACTATGAGTCAGAATCGACTATTTGGCAGTGAATTTTATTTTTTTTTTAATTATTATTTTTAATCACAACACAGCTTAGGCATATCACAGAGCTCCCTGTCACTCACCCTTTCCCTTCCCACTCAAGGAAGAATATTGGAATGCAAATATGTGAGAGCTCATTTGGAAATAACTTTGAATCTATTCCAATTTGTGTTAAAGTAGAAAGATAAATCATTCCCAAACTTCTAAGCTATGTTTATTATTGTTTTGTTAAAAAATAAAATAAAGCCACTGCCATGGAATCAATTCTAACTCATAAAAACACTGTAGAACAGAGTAGAATTATCCCTATGGGTTCTTGGAATAGTTTCCAAGGCTATACATCTTTATGGAAGCAGACTGACTCATCTTTCTCCCATAGAGTGGTGACTGGTGGGTTTGAGCCATGGACCTTTTGGTTAGCAGCCAAACGCCTTAACCAGTCACTGCTCCTTGTTGTTGTGTTAGGTGCCTTGCAAGTCACTTTTTGATTCATAGTGACACCATGACAAAGTAGAACCGCCACCTAAGGATTTTTAGTTTATAACTTTTATGAGAACAGATCATCAGTTCTTTCTCCTGTGGAGGTGCTGGTGGGCGGGGGGGGGGGAGGGGGGCACTGGCCTAGAACAGCCAACCTTTTATTTAGCACTAGAAAGTTCTATCTTACCTCCAATGTCTTTATCCAAGGTTGAGAAACACTGACCCAGGTCCGGGAGGCTGTTGCCATCTTCATCTATGTCAGAATCAGCTCTCTCAGGAGCAATAGGGAAATCCTAAAGGGGGCTTAGGTAGTAACTTCCCCTAATTATCCCTCTGGGGAAACTTGTCAAGACTGGAGCTGGGCTTTCTGGTCTACCTCAGAACTTTGTCTTTTTAGCCAGTTGTCTCTGGGAATGAGGAAGGGTCAGCTACAGTCATCTCTCTCAAGCAGTGAGTTCTGACTTCAATACCTTCCTATGAGTGAGGTTCAGAAGGGTATCCCTAAGGAGCTTGCTAATTTGGGCTGAGGGTATTTCTTAAGACCTTCCCAGGATCTGAAGAGGGGTGAGTGGTCAGTGGCAAGGACGGGGACTCAAGACTTATTTTGTGGTTTTCTCTGTGCGTCTGCAGGGCCAGCAGCCTCTGGAGACCTTATTGAGCTGGTTGGTGCCATTGGCGAGTCTGTGACTTTCCCTCTGAAGCACTCAGTAATGCAGGTTGGCAGCATTGTCTGGATCTTCCACACAACTCTTGTGACCTTAGAGCCACAAAAGCCAAACAAGTCGGCTGTTTTCATAGTGACTCAAAGTCATAAAAAGGAAAGAGTGAGTTTCTCAAATACAGACTACTCCCTGAAGCTCAGCAAACTGCAGAAGAATGACTCGGGTATCTACCGTGTGGAGATACACAGCTCACTGCACTCACTACCCTTCACTCAGGAGTATGTGCTGCATGTCTATGGTGAGCAAAATCAGTTCCAAAGGTCAATGGCTGCCTTGGTGAGGTGGTGAGCTCCCTGACACTGGGGATGTTCAAGCAGAGGTTGAATAAGCACTTGTCAAGAATATGAAAGAGGGGATTCCTGAGTGGATGAAATAGCTATAGCTGGCCCCTGAGGTCCCTTCCTACTCAAGAGATTCTGTAAGAGGTAGTGGGGTGCAGCAGGCGGGCCACATGAGGGTTAATAAGCACACAGATCTAGGTCAAATAGTGGCTTTTCTACTTACTAGTCACATGACCTTAGACAAGTACTTAACCTCTTTGAATATTAGTTTCCATATTTATAATGGAGAGGGGAGAGATATCTACCTTAGGCATAAACTTAATCATACCAATTCCCCTACAGATTCCAGCCAATTGAGAATTAGACATAAAAACCAGAAAAAAGATTTTTTTTTAAAAAAAAATCAGCTTTATTTCTGTAAAATCTAAATAGGAGAAACACTTCCCTCTAAGTTTAAGTAACACATTCAGGAAGCTGAACTTACAAAACAATTAGTCAATTACTCAAGAGGAATCATTGCCTCACATTCACTGAACCCTAATACCAGAAACACCAGGAAATGGGTCTCTAGACTTACTAGTAGGAGGCAGACCATGCTCCTTGAGCCAAGTGTATTTTCCACATAGACATAATTGAAGGGAGAAGACCTTCGTTTTGTAGACAAGCGAGCCTGGGAGGAAACAAAAGGGAAAACCTTCCCTCTTAAAGACTGTAAATGGTGAAGTCAGCCTCTCACCCTATCACCAATTAAACTAATTGTCCTCTGAGGGGAAGGAGTGAGCACAAGGCACCAGAAATGTTACTCTAATACTGTTTTCTCCTGGAGAGTGAAATGAAATCTCTTCAAGGAAGCCCGGGTTCAGGGTGGTAGGGAATCTCAAAAAAAGATACACAGAGCTGACATCAAAAATGCGTTTAGCACAGTGCTTGGTATTTGGTTATACTTAGTAAATATTAACTGCATTCTCATTACATTGCTGTTATTTTCTATTATTGTTATTTTTGTTACTGTCATTATTATTATATAGCTGTGGGCAAGCAGACCTAGGTAGTTCTCTTTCCTAGGTAAGAATGAGAATTTGACCCTGAATTGCTGCTTCCTCCCCACTCTGGAGCACCCCAAGGAGATTCAGGGCAAAGGTATCCAGGGATTATTCAGAGAAAGAAATATAGGCATAATTTTCATCTCTGGTTGTCCATTTCTCTTTCACAGAACATCTGTCAAAGCCCAAAGTCACCATAGGCCTTCAGAACAAAAACAATGGCACCTGCATGGTCAATCTAACATGCTCCATGGAACAGGGAGGAGAGGATGTGACTTACAGCTGGAATTCCCTAGGGCAGGTAGTCAATGAGTCCCATGATGGCTCTATCCTCTCCATCTCCTGGAAACTTAAGGAAAGGAACATGACCTTCATCTGCATGGCCAGGAACCCCATCAGTAGCAACTTCTCAAACCCCATCTCTTCCTGGAAGCTATGTGAAGGTACAGCTCATTCCTCTTTCCAGGAACCTTTGGTTCCAAGACCTTTTCAACCCCTGATCCCTATGGAAATAGTCCTGCGAAAACTGGAAGCCATTTGGGAGTCACAGGGCTGGGAGGAAGGTGGCAGTTGCTCCAACACTCAGTTCATTTTCCCTAGCTAACCTTCTGCCCTTCTTTGTGCTCCCGCCCATTCTCTCTTTAAAGGTGCTGCTGATGACACAGATGTCCCCATGATTCTCCTGTACCTCGTGTTGGTGCCCTTGCTCTGCATTCTTATACTGGGACTTGTTATTTTGATTATGCAGAGAGAGAGAAGAAAAGGTTTGGATTTCCCTGAAGTAGAGCATGCCCTATTATTGTCCTCATCCTCATTCAGGCATAGTGCTTGGTATAGGCACTAAAGATATAGAGATGAATAGGCCATAGTCTCTCCTCACAAGGACAGAACAGTCAGCATGCATCCCTTAGTTCTAGAGTAGAGGGTGCTTGGGTCTTTAACTCCTCACATGAGGTCAAGGTCCTCCCAATCCCCACTTTATGTCGACTCCTTTCCCTCCCCACAGGGCCTTGCTGGTGAGGCCCTTCTATTGACACAGGCATCATACTGCTGACTCTGCTCCCATGAATTGGAAGATGATGGCCTCCAACTCTGAGGTCTCCATGGACCAGCACCCTCCACTAGGCCCTGCTTACTGCCCCCCCATCAGAGCCACCGGCCAGCCCCAGCCCTCTCCATTGGATCAATCCCAGAGATCTCTCTTTACTCCCCACCTCAGTCTAGACACTTCCCTCCTGGAGAAGCCTTAAAAGGCTAACCCAAACCCCACTGCCATTGAGCGAATTCCGACTCATAGGAACCCTATAAGATAGAATAGAACTCCCCCATATGGTTCCAAGGTAGTAAATTTTTATGGAAGCAGACTGCTTCATCTTTCTCCCATGGAGCAGCTTGTGGGTTTAAAAGGCCAAAGAGTGAGTCAATCTCTTTCTGTCCACCCTGAATCCCGTGCTCTGTGTCCCTAAACCCTGCTGATCTGGCTTCTCAGGGCCCTACTGATACTGTCTGTGTGGGCATTGGAAAGAGTCCTAAGCATTAGTTGTGTATGACATGCAGATTTTGTGATCTTCCCTCTTTCTCAGAGGAACTCTGAAAGTATTTCTGACCTTTGTTGCTTCCCACTTTGGTTGTCTTGGTCCAGAGAGCAGGAAGTAAAGTGACAAGGGTGTCCAATTCATCTTGATTTGTCTAGGACTTTCCTGGTTTTAGCACTGAAAGTCCTGGATCCTGGAAAGCCCTTTAGTACAGGAAAACTGGGGTGATTGGTCATCTTAAGTGAGTCATTGGCTGGGATGGTGGGCCAGTGGGGGTGGTAAGTGATCAGAAGGGCTATCTCTGATTCTCTCCCAAATTGATTTCAGAGTCCATTGAAGAAAAGGGAAAGGAAAGACATCAAGAAATTCCTCACACCGGCCCCCATTCAGGAGAGAACACGGCGTATGACACAAACTCTTACCCTAATGTGAGTCCCTTCTCATCTTTCCCAGAGCCTATTCCTCCTCTCTGAGGTCTTTCTTGTTTTATTTGAGATTTTTCCATGGGTTTGAACAACATGAGGGTAGGGATGGGGAGGAAGAAGATGTATAGCCTTGAAACCCAATGTACCTATGTCTCCCCCAAGTTTTTATTAAGTCTATCTTATACAGGAACTGGTGGCCTCTGAAGCACCTGGTTAACCCAATTAGTAATGCTCACATGTAGTCGGTGGAATCATTCTCTCCCCACCCCCATAGTTCACACTAGCCACTCAACAGCTCTATTTCTCTTGCAGTGGGAAAGAACAGTGGGTAGAAAAATGTGTCTTTGACATTATGGTAGAGTCATGGTGTCAGACAATGCTCTGAAGATGCCTTTCTTCTCCCTGGGATGACTCAAGAAGCCCCTAGGAGGGCATCAGAGGGCCCACAGGGCTTCTGGGTCCACACTCAAGTTTCCTCAAGTGTGAGGCACTGAGTTGAAGTGAATTAACACAAAGTTAATTCAAAGGAAACTCTTTGAAAAAAAAGTCACAAGAATAAAGTTTAAAGAGACACAACTAACAAGAGACAAATAATCATTGTGGCTCAGGCTGGACTAGCTCTGTAGAAGTCATAGGACTCTTTCACACATTGCCCAGTTAATAAAGAAATTAAAATATTTTGCCTCCTCAATACTTTAATTATTCCTTAACCACTTTCTAACTCACCACTTGCCATCACACTGATTATGACTCATGATAACCTCGTATATATCAAAATAGAACTATGTTCGATAGGGTCTTCTCCTCCTCCTCCTCTTTCTTCACCTTCTTCCTCTTCTTTTTTTATTGTGATTTGGGTAGAAGTTTACACACAGTTTTCCATTCAACAATCCACACATATTTTGTTTCATGTCATTGATGGCAATCCACTCCATATAGTGACTCCTCCCCCACTCTCCCTGTGTTTTTCATTTCCATTCCTCCTTCTTTCCTAACCTTTCCTGCCTTCTGAACTTTGTCTTTGGGCAAATGCTGCCCTTTTGATTACAAATGGTTGATTGTTCTAAGGAGTATCTACCTTCCTAGAATTATTGTTCACCTTGTAGACCTGTCTACTGTTTGACTGAAAATTCATGTCTGAAAGGTGACCAAGGGCCATAATCTCAGGGTTACACCAGGCTGCATAGGGTTTTCAGTGGCTCATTTTTGGAAGTAGATCACCAGGCCCTTTTTCTGAGGCATCTCTGAGTGGAGTCGAACCTCCAGCCTTTTGGTTTGCAGCCCAGTGCATTAAACATTTGCATCATTCAAAGATGCCTTACCCACTTTAGGAGGCTCAAACTCATGGGACTTAAATATATTTTTATTTCATTTACACGGGACACAGCTTAAAAAGAATTCAAATGCTTCCTGAAAAGAAATGATTAATTATTACTATTATAGCAGTCACCAGCAAGAGCAATTCCCACTACCAAATCCATTTCCTTCTCTTTCTCCATGTCCTTCCACATTTGCTTCGCCCTCTCTGGCTTGTTTATATGAATCAGGGGTGGGTGATGATTTCTTTTGTTTGTTGTTTGCTTTTCAATAGAAAACCAGCTCTGAGGAAGGTGCAGTAAATACACTTTATTCCACTGTGCAGATACCCAAAAAGGTAAGAAGGTTTACAGCTGAGCTTTGTCTTCATCATCCCACCCCTTTTCCTGGTTCATGTAAGGTTCAAATTGCTTGGGTTCAATGGATCTCATATTTTCTGGCACTAAAAGTAGCCCAGGATTTCCTCATTCCCTTTGCTTAGGATTGCATACGAATATGGGGAATAGGAGAAAATTGTATTTTGTGAGACAAGTGGGATAATCTTGAACAAATACAGTAGGACAGTATCCTAGGTAGGAATGGTAAGAAAGATCAGAAAGATCCTGACTAAGATCGTAGATGAGGAAAAAGGAGGTGACCAAGGCCATTCATGAAAGATGAGAGATGGCTGGGGAGGAGACTCTAACTTGTTTCTGAGCTACCAATTAATTGAAGAGGGAGAGATTTCTGCTTCTTTTCCTCCAGCTATTTTACAACTAATTGGCACCCTCCTACCAGTCAAACTAGTAACATGGAAAGTATTAATGCTTATTCACCCACAGATCACACTGTAATCTGTGACCACACTTGTTTAGTGACAGGAAAGATTAGTTCTGATGGATTATTGGAAGGAAAGTTCAGTTTATTAAATATTCAGCAAGGTAAGTGTGGGTTCAACTCAAGTAATAGTTGATACAAATTAGGAAGGCTTAAGGAGTCCCTGGCTGGTATAAATAGTTAGATGCTCAACTGCTAACCTGAAGGTTGGAGGTTTGGGCCCACCCACAGGCACATTGAAAGAAAGACCTGGGAATCTACTTCTGAAAAAGCAACCATTGAAAACCCTATGGAGCACAGTCCTACTCTGACACACGGGGTCACCATGAATCAGAACTGACTCCACAGCAATTTGTAACTGGTAGAAAGTATTATACAATGGGGGCAAGCACAGTGGGAGGTTTCAGTTTGGTCACCTTGGAAAGGAAGTGTCTGGGATGGGAGGATCCATTGTGGAAGATCCAGAGCCCCCTATCTCCAGTGCCCTGCATCCTTTTGTCTGCCTAACAGGTGGAGGAACCCGACTCACAGTCCATGACTCCAGACACATCAGGGTCATTTGCCTATGAAAATATCATCTAAACAGCAGTTCATTCTCCTCACATCTAATTTCAAAGAAAACAGGCAAAAGAATCCACTGACTTGCTCAAAAACATCAAGAAAGAATAAGGAACATGGATTTCCTTCCAGAATAAAACTGACTCAGCATTCCTGGGACCATCTTTTATGCTCCTTCAGATGTAAGAACTCATAATTCTGCCCACTGCTAAGAAATCTTCTCAACTTAGAATGCGTAGTTGCTTCTTCCTAAAAATGTTAGCTTCCCAGAAGCCAGCCCCAAGAAAGGAGCATTGAAGTCTCTGTCAAAACATAAATGCAGTGTCACACATAATTAATGACTGCCCCTGTCCTTTGTGGAGTGGGCGCATGCAAGACTTGGAGGTTAGGAATATACCAAGAGTCAAGGAATATACCAGGAGATCCAGAAGGGTGGAACAAGAGCAAAGAAGAATGAAAAGAAAAAAAAAAGACACATGGAAGCAATTAGTCCAAGGGACTGGTACAGTATGCAGTCCTCAGCCTATTTGACCATAAGACAAGAAGAACTAGATGGTTCCTGGCTACCACGGTCAACAACTCGGAGGGAATCAGTGCAAAAGATCCTGGACAGAGTGGGAGAACAATGTGGAACAAAACTCAGGGCAGTGCACTTCATGTGCACCCATCACCTGCTGTCGGTGGAGGTTTGTATATTGCTCTAATGCTGAAGAGCTTTCAGTAGAGCTTTCAAACTAACATAGACTAAGAAAAGGGCCTGACAATCTACCTCTAAAAATCAGCCAGTGAGAACTATATGGATTACAACAGTCAGACCCAAAACCTGTCACGAGGGTGGTGCAGGAACAGGCAGCATTTAGTTCTATTGTGCATAAGGTTAGCCAGGGGTGACCAAGGGCTGATTCTACAGTGGTGTTGAATATAACGACAGCATATCAACTGAACGCTAGTGAGATCCACATTGATATGGGTCTACTGTGACACTGGACTACAGTGCTAGCCACTGTATCTTTTCTCCTTCAGTCCAAAGGCAGGAATGCCTTCAGGCAATAAGTAAATCTAAATTCACACTGGATATGCAGTGTTCCCCGAGATCACAGACTTTCTGGAGGAGGTCTCGAGTACTTGCCAGATTCCACTGGAGAAAATGTATCATTCAGATTCTACTAGCGTTTTGCACCTTCTTGAACTTTTCAACCACAGGCAAGTCTTCTGACACTCTACGTCCTCCAATCCTCTGTTAGGGGGCAGTTACCTTCATGTAAATTTGTTCCATAGATTCGCCTATGACTCCTATGAGAAAAGTTAATCTAGGATACATATGTCTAGTTTACAGATGTTGAAATAGAGGCCCAAAGAAACTAGCAGACTTGTGGCAGTTTCACACTTGAGTGTGGCAGAACCAAGGCTAGAACAAAAGCAGTGTCTCTGCTCCACCATCCACCATCCACTGCAGAGTGCAAGGAGAACAAGATTCAAAGCTTGAGAAGGGTGGATCCCTCTCTTCCCATGGAGGAAAGGACCTAGCTTTGAAGACGGATAGGTCTAGGTCCAAATTCCTTTACTAGCTGAATGACCCTGGCCAACAACTTGGGTTCTGTGAGCCTATTCTCCTGGCTCTAAAACCTTTACAGGGCTTGAAATATGGGGATTTAATGAAGCAAATAGAAGTAGTTGGCACATAATAGGGGATTCATACATGACACATGATTCTTGGGGAAGGAGACAGTCCATAAAAGAAAAAAAAAGTGCTTACAACTTCCTAAAAATCACCTTGGGATAAAATACAGAGAAACTGAAATAGGGAATCAACCCTTAAAAGAGAGGTGTCTGACTGATAGTAAAGAGATGCAGGAAGAGAGAACAGTGGGCATCACACACTCACAAACACCCCCCCCCCAAGTATTGAAAGAACTGGAAAAGAAAAACACAAGAATAGGATTGAGAAAATATATCTCAAAAAGGTACTAGCAAGTTTATGTACAAAAGCATGCATTATTGTATTATTTGTATTAGTGAATTTCTGACCCTAGGGAAAAGTTAAATAAACTCAGACATTAAGAAGTATGGATCATAAAACTATGTAAATAGTATGACATCATAAGTGGAAAAAATAGAATGCAAAAGTTAATGAGTCATATGATTACAACTATGCTTAAAAATCTCTTACACATGAGGAAAAAAATGGAAGAAAATGCATCAAAATATTAACACTGATATTTGAGGGGGATGAAATCCTAGATGGATTGGTTTTAGTCTATTTTTCTTCATTTCCTAAATGTCTTTAATGAAAAAGCTTGTATTATATAATGTGATGAAACAGTTTTAATTGCATGTGCAATGAGAAAAAGAAAAAAGGTGTTGCCCACCGTGAGGAGCTGAGGGGAAAGTCTGAGACCCAATTGTTAAGGGCAGGATGAGGGAGGATGGAAAGTGTTTGTTCAGAGTGAGAATGGGGTGGGGAGAAATGAAGAAGCCCCCCAGTGTGATGATCAGAGGAAAAGATTACTGTCCCTCAGAGAAGGTGGCTTGAGGTGATTGGAGCTTCAGAGTGGGTGAAGATTGGGGAGGTGAAGATAGGGACTGCTGGGCCTTAGGATAAATCTGTTTCCCCTGCCCTCCTTTCCTCAGAGCCAGTTCAGATGGTAAAATAATTAGGATGAGTCACCTGTTTTTTTTTTTTTTTTTTACTAGTGAGGAAAACAGGGCCCAGGAAAGCCAAAAGATCTGGATACTCAATAAATTCTGTCCCAAAACTGACTGCAAAAAAAAAAAAAAAAAGAAGCTTTGTGTCATGAGCTCAAACAGCAAGTAAAGGAAACCACCAATACGTCAGGGAGAGAAGTCACCTGCTGCCTCACAGGCTCACCACATGCAGCCTCCAGAGCTGTGTGGTTTGTGACCTGCAAGATGTGAGCACTAACTTCTCAAATTCAGAAACTCTGGTGGGAGTGTAAAGAAGGTCTCTGTACCATTTCAGGCAGCTATTCACTCATTCATTTGTCCATGCATGCATTTGTTCATTTATTCACTTAGCACTGGGAGCACCACTAGGTGCTAGGCACTCTGTTAAACTCAGGGAATAAAACTTGTGAACCAAAACAGAGGTCTCTATCTTTGGGGTACGAACATTCTAATAAGGGAGACTAACACTCAAATTATCCTTCAAATATGTGAAAATGGCATGGGGGCAGTGTCTGACCTCCTCTAATTTCACAAGGGAGAGGGAGAATCACCATCAGCATCAGCCCAAAGCTGATTCCTATGAGGCAGAGGTCAGATATGCCTCCATACTCCACCCTTTTTTATCAATTCTGACACCAACTGTCCCGCCCATGGCACTCTTCACTTTGCTGGGTTTGATCATTGAAATGGCCACATAGAACTCACAGACCATACTCATAGTTATGGGAAGTAATAGGTTACAATTCAGCATCAGAAATGACTCAAGATATAGTTCTTCAGTCAGGACAGCTTCTTCTCAGCCCTGCCCATAGGCATGCCCCTCTGTGGCCTTCATCCTCTTAGCCCTGCCTCTGCCCTGCTTTCACAAGTGTTACACAGCTCTTTTAGCTCTGCTAATAAGTACCCAGAGGCATTCTACTCCACCAGTTAGTCTTGGCCCAAAGTCATTCAGCTCTCTTGCTCCTTGGGTTGGCTGGCCAAGCTCTGCCAAGTGCTCAGAGGCACTCCACTCTGTCAGCAAGCCTGAAGGCACTCAGCTTTCTTGCTCCATTGGTCGGGAAGCCCACCACACTGCCTCGTGCTAGTCTCCTGGTTCTGCTGCCTCTGTTGTCATCATTTCTCTGTTTCTGCTTCTCACTATCTCTTGCCATCTTCGGTGTTACAGCTCTCTTTCTCTGTCTCCTTGGTCTAGGACGCTGTCAGTGCAAGAATCCCAGGGCCAAAGGATGTGCTCCACTTCTGACTCTTCTTTCTTGGTTGTTGTGAGGTCCTCTTTCCACTCTGGGGTGGCTCATTTTAAGCCTACTGGGATGGTAAAAATGACCAATCCCCACATTAGGGTTCTGTGCACCTTACTTGCATAAGGGCACCATACACCCACCTCCATAAGGGCACCATACACCTTATTTACATTATCAGCAACCTATCCAATCCCTTGGTGAGTCAAAAGCACCATATTTGCGTAGTATCACCCAGCCATTTGTTGGGTGTTATAAAGACTATGGCTCCCCCAAAAACCAAACTCACTGCCATCGAGTCAATTTTGACTCATAGCGACCCCTATTGGATTTCTGAGGCTGTAAACCTTTACAGAAACAGATTGCCCCATCTTCCTTCTGTGGAGCAGCTGGTGAGTTGGAACCACTGACTTTCTGGTTAGTACCCAAAGGCCTTATCCACTATGCCACCAGACCTCCTTAAAGACTATGGCTAGAAGGGCCATATTAAGTAATTAACTGTACATCAAATAATATTGCAGCAATGATGTCTTCTATGAAAGAAAAGTATGTGGTACTACTAAGTGGATTTTCCTAGGATCCAGGAAGGCTTCTGTGAAAGCCTTAGAAGCTATGAAATTTTCATTCACACCTAAAGATGAGTAGGAGCCACTTACAAGAAGGGTGGGATGGGTGTCCATGAATGTCCACTCCTAGTCAGAAGGAAGATCATGTGCAAAGGCCTATGGTGAAAGGGCCTAAATAAAAGAAAGTCAGTGTAGCTAGAGTGCAGAGAGTTGTGCTTCTAAAGCTTCCTTAGTTGCAGTATGGGAAACAGATTGTAGGAGGTCAAGGGTGGTTGCAGGCAAACTATTTAGAAGGTTATTGCAGCAATCCAGCAAAGAGGTAATGGTACTTTGGGCAATGATGATGGGATGGAGATGGAGTGAAGAAGATGGTTTCAAAAGATACCTAAGAGCTAAGGGGACATCTGTTACCAGTGTTGTTGAGAATGTTTGCTGACCTGGAAGAGGAGGCTGGAAGCCTAATTTTTGTTTTGGCAGCTTCTGAGGACTGAGGGGCAAAAGTTGGACCCCAATGCCACCAAGATCAGAGAACTGC